TGTCCCCAGGAGCTGTGCCGGGAGCTGTCCCCTGTCCCCCTGTCCCTCTATCCCGTGTCTGTCTGTCCCCAGGAGCTGTCCCCTGTCCCCCTGTCCCACTGTCCCGTGTCTGTCTGTCCCCAGGAGCTGTGCCGGGAGCTGGAGGCTCGGGCCGTTCCGTACCGGGCGCTGCGGGAGCGGCTGCAGCTCCTGCTGGACTCGTGCGGCCCCGCCCGGCCCTGCAGCACCGAGCACAGCCTGCGGCTGCTGCAGCACAAATGGGACAGCGTCCAGGCCGAGGCCCAGGAGAGGAAGGTGTGCGGGCTGGGGGGGCTGGGACCCCCTCGGGGGGGCTCTCCCTGACCGGAGCGGGGCAGGAGCCCAAACCCACCGGCGCCTGGCGCTGCCCGCAGGAGCGCCTGGCAGAGGGGCTGACGGTGAGCACCGAGTTCCACGGCTCGGCGCAGGAGCTGCTGCGGTGGGTGGCACACGCCGAGGAGCTGCTGGGGTCCCCCGAGCCCCCCAGCTTCGTCCTGGACACCGTCACTGCCCAGATCCAGGAGCACAAGGCAAGGGCGGGCGCGGTGCCCTCGGGGCCGGGTCGTGGCGCTGGGGTCTGAACGAGGGGTACCCCACGAGTGGCACCTGCAGGGATCCCCCCCCCCCGGGATTGCTGCAAGGGGGGTTTGTGTCCCCAGAGCAGAGGAGAGGGTCACCCGTGCCCTGTGCCACTGCCCAGCTGTGCCCGGTGCTCCCTGTCCCGTCCTGGGTTTCTGGTGCCCCCTGTCCCCTCCTGGGTTCCCGGTGCTCCCTGTCCCATCCTGGCACGGGTTCCTGGTGTTCCCTGTCCCCTCCTGGGTTCCCGGTGCTCCCTGTCCCGTCCTGGCACGGGTTCCTGGTGTTCCCTGTCCCATCCTGGGTTCCCGGTGTTCCCTGTCCCATCCTGGGTTCCCGGTGCTCCCTGTCCTGTCCCATCCTGGGTTCCTGGTGTTCCCTGTCCCATCCTGGGTTCCCGGTGCCCCCTGTCCCATCCTGGGTTCCCGGTGCTCCCTGTCCCATCCTGGGTTCCCGGTGCTCCCTGTCCCGTCCTGGCACGGCTGTGCCCGGGGGCTCCTGACCGGCCCCAGGACACCCCACCCTCAGCTGCCCCCTCCCCACAGGCCCTGGTGAAGGAGGCCAATGCCCACGGGGAGATGCTGGCCAGCCTGGAGGCCGTGGCCGCGCGCCTCAAGGATTTCAGTCGGAAGCAGGACGGGGCCGTGATCCAGAACCTGGTGCTGGCGGCCCGGGAGCGCCTGGGCAAGGTCCTGCAGCGAGCGGCGGAGAGGGGAGCGCTGCTGGAGGAGGCCCGAAAACGCAGCAAGCAGGTACAGGGACAGAGCCCAGGGAGATGGGACAGAGCCCAGGGAAATGGGGCAGAGCCCAGGGAGATGGGACAGAGCCCAGAGAAATGGGGCAGAGCCCAGAGAGATGGGACAGAGCCCAGGGAGATGGGACAGAGCCCAGGGAGATGGGACAGAGCCCAGAGAGATGGGACAGAGCCCAGGGAAATGGGGCAGAGCCCAGAGAAATGGGACAGAGCCCAGGGAGATGGGACAGAGCCCAGGGAGATGGGGCAGAGCCCAG